CCTCTATAAATGCCCTTTGCCTCCTAGATCTTCCCTCTATTTTCTTTTACTTTCCTCTTGTCCCATTATCATGTTCAGCCTTCATTTGGGTTTCCGTAATTCCTCTAGGTTATATTGCCTTTGATCAAGTCCTACCAGGCCTCCTACACCCTCCTTGCCATCGATTTTGGATCACTTGTTATTCCCTTGTCCCTGGGTTTAACACCCACTTCTGGGCTGTTAACGTTAAGATCAGTATTTCCAAGCCACCAGCTGCTCCATGAGAATAACCCAGCGCTTTCTACTCCCATCAAGAGTTACAGTCTCAGCAACTCACAAGAATAGTTCTATCCTGTCCTACGGGGCCTCTACAAGTCAGCATTGTCCCATCCTACCGGGTCACTATAAGTCCGCATGGGCTTGATGGCAGTGAGAAAGTTGGTCTTCACGGGATTGCTATCATCCAAGATCATGTTTCTTTTGAGGAGGGATGGGGGCCTATGGGAGGTTTCTGTTGTCGTTGACCAAGTTCTAGATGTTATTCATCTGAAGCGATGCACCTATTTGTGTGGCTTTTTGAGTCTGTGTTTATTTCACAGTATTGCAAACATATCTTGAAACTTTTTTAATGGTGCTGAGCTTCTCTTGACTGCAGTTGGTGAGATCTGACCCTGGCCCTTTCTCCCCATAGGTCTCAGCCCCACAGAGCTGCCCTTTGATTGCCTGGAGAAGACCAGCCGGATGCTCAGCTCCACGTACAACTCGGAGAAGGCTGTGGTGAAAACGTGGCGCCACCTGGCCGAGAGCTTTGGACTAAAGAGGGATGAGATCGGGGGCATGACGGACGGCATGCAGCTCTTTGACCGGATCAGCACCGCGGGTTACAGCATCCCGGAGCTGCTCACGAAACTGGTGCAGATCGAGCGGCTGGATGCCGTCGAGTCCCTGTGTGCAGACGTTCTGGAGTGGGCAGGGGTCGTGCCCCCTGCACCGCCACAACCAGCCACATCCTGAGGGACATGACTCTGAACTGTCCTTCCTTGGGGTGAGCCAAGGGACCTAAGCAAGGGCTCTGGAGCTGCTGCGAGTGGCGACAACAGACTGCTGAGAATCAAGGTTGCTTCTGAAATGTCACCAGGAGGGTATGCCCAGGCGGTTCCAAAGAGCAAGAGGAAAGGAGGCCTGACATCCGAGCAAACCGAAGATAAAGGATTCAGGCTGGGCTATTCCCAGCCACTCACCTGTACCTCATCAGGTAGAATGGATATCTGTTTGTCTAACCAGCCATTAATTCATTCTACACACCTTGCGGAGTAAGACGCCAATGAACCAAGGTGACTGGGGTGAAGAATCTGGACCCAGCCTTTAAGGAGTTTACCATCTTGTGGGCGACATAAGACATGCCTGCAAAACTGAATGAGCGGGTGGCTAAGAAAATGTAGTAAATGTTTTAGGGGAAGGAGATGGCTTTCCCCTGGGGTAAGAAAGAAGGACTTCCTCATGCAGGATGGGCTTGAAAGTTTTGGCAGCTGATGACAAAATGCAGACACTCCATCCCAGGTGTGGTTCCAGGTTCAGTATAAGGCTGCTAAGTGCCTACGTGGCTTCCTTAGGATAACTTTACCTGTCCTTGAGATCATTCTTATTTCCCAACACCCTCCCCCCACCTCCCACGGGTAACGGAAGAGCTCACTCTGTGGCCTGCATCTTGCCGTCGGTACGCAAGCATGTGTTTCTCCATCAAGTAGACCTGCCTTCCTCACTCCTTCTTAGTCAGCCGTGACTAAGGGGGGCGGCAGTGCCCAAGGACAGAAGCAGCTGACGGCACAATGTGCCAGACTCCGCTCTGCTTCCAGCAGCAATACGTTGTCAACTCTGCTTAGAAAGGGAAATGACAACTTCCTAAGGGTTCAGCCACACCTCATTCTAGATTCCATGCATATCTAAGACTTATTATGGCTGAGCCTGATCTCATAGGGGTTTCTCACTCCAGGTCTTCTGAGCCAGTCATGGGCAGTGGTGCCTGCAAGTGCTATGCAGAGAGCCCTGGGCTTAGGGACCAGAGACGGAGGTTCTCCGTGTGCCAATTCTCTCTTCCTCTGTAGGCCTCAGTTTCTCTTTTACAGATGAGAGGTTTGGATTGGCCAGGCTCTAAGGCCCTCCCAACTGTGGTGGTCTGTGATTTTAGAATCGGGAAGTAAGGATCCAGAGAGTACAAGGGGGCGTGGGGATGCAGAAACGCACCATCTGGAGGCCCTGCTGGAAGTGAACATCTTGAGACCAGCCAAGCAAATTGGGGCTAAAAAGAGAAAAGCTCCGATTTGGGGCTTTCTCAGGAAGGGTGACGATCTGGCATATGATTGAGAGCTACAGTGAATAAGCAGCCATTGTTCTTGGCAGATTCTTTTCTTTCTCCTGGAACTGCCAAGAGCTCGAGAACCAGAGGCGTAATCTCACCAGTGGGTTCATTTCAAGTTCACTGCTGAGCTCTTTTAGAGACAGGTCTTACTGAAGTTGTTACCAAATTAAAATAAATCCCCTAAAAAAAGTTTAATGAAACAAATCCCGACTTAGAAAGTGATGGTTTGGTTGGGTTTGAAGTTAGAGGTCACGTGACTGAGTAAATGCTTCGGAGGGGACAGATCAGTCACATGATTAAAGCCAACAAGCAATTTCCCACTGATCGATGTAGAACATACTGTGATCGGATCATAATTAGGCTCTGAATATTTAATGTCATCATTGACTTCATTTGCTGCTGTTTTTCAGAACCTCTCTGATACATACTGAGAGCTAAAACTCTGTGGCAAACCTAATTATCTTTTTAAGTCCTCTCCGAAATCCTACGGTGCTCCTTCCTCCCGCTTTGTGATAATGGTGAGAGTCTCGCTCTTAATCAGACTGCAAAGATCCTATGTGGTGAACACGTCATTGCAGGGGAACAGCTTGCACCTTCCTTGGAACAATGTTTCCCGTGAAGGAGGAAGGGTGGCTGTTCTCCAGAATGGGTGGTTTCACCTAGTTTCATGCTATCGATATGGTGGGACCAGGGTCAGCCAACATCAGACCACGTTTCATTAATGAAGCTGCCAGGTAGCGAGTTAGTCCCTAGATTGCTACACATCCCTTTGCCCTTGTCTCACTTAGAAATCCATCCAGGAAAAGTTGCATTGATGGAGCTGTACATGATGGAATCTATGATGATGTGACGGACCAAGGCAGGGGCTCCACCTGTTATTTTGAATGGACCAAAAACAGCAACATAAACAACAACCTGCTGCCACGGAGTCGATTCTGACTCAAAGCTTTCCTTAAAGTATAGAGAGATCGAAGCGTTTCTGAGGCCTTCGTGGAAGCAGACTGCCTCATCTTTCTCCCACAGAACAGCCAGCTGGTGGATCTGAACTGCCAACCTCTTTTATATGAAGACCGTCAATTACTGTGCTAAACTTAAACATATTTCAAAAACCCCAGGCTACGTCTGTGGCCCTTAACCAGTGAAGTCTTAATTGTCAATATTTTTGTCTAATTCTGTATATTTAACTTATTATATTCTACAATATCAATAAACAAATTAAGAGAACATCTCAAGAATATGTAGCATGAGCTCTTTTGAAGAGGGGAATGAGTGAGTGAAGAACACGCCAATGGCTTTATTTCTGGGTTATTAGACTTTGTATTGGGATCAGCCAGATATGAATCACCTAAACTGCTATGTCCTGGACCACGCAGTCAACAAAGGCAAACGCTACAAGGTTGTTAAGTGCCAATGAGTCAGCTCCCACTCATAGCAAGTCTTTGTACAACAGAACAAAACACTGCCTAATTCTTTCTGCACCATCCTCACAATTGTGCGTCAGTTTGAGCCCATTGTTGCAGCCACTGTGCCAATCCATCTCGGTGAGGGCCTTCCTCTTTCTCACTGCCCCTCTATGTTTCCAAGCATGATGTCCTTCTCCAGGAGATGGTCCATCCTGATAACAAGCCCAAAGCACATCCTTGCTTCTAAGGAGCATTCCAGCTGTACTTTTTCCAAGATAGATTTGTTTGGGTTTTTGTTTGTTTTATCAATTCATGGTACTTTCAGTATTCTTTGCCAGCACATAATTCAAATGCATCAATTCTTCCACGGTCTTCCTTATGCGATGTCCAACTTTCACATGCAAATGAGGCCATTGAAAATACCATGGCTTGGGTCAGGCACACCTTAGTCCTCAAAGTCACATCCTGGCTTTTCAGCACTTTAAAGAGATCTTGTCCAGCAAATTTACCCAAATGCAAGGCATCATTTTATCTCTTAACTGCTGCCTCCATGAGTGTTGACTGGACCCATCCAAGCAAAATGAAATTCTTGACAACTTCAATCTTTTTCTCCATTTTTCATGATGTTTCCTACCAGTACAATTGCGAGCAGTTTTGTTTTCTCTACATGGAGTTGTAATCCAAATCTAAGGCTGCAATTCTTGATCTTCATCAACAAGTGTTTTAAGTCCTCCTCACTGTTGGCAAGCACAATTGTGTCAGCTGCGTATTATAGGCTAATAAATCTTCCTCTAATCCTGATGCCAAATTCTTTGTCATCTAACCCAGCTTCAATGATGATTTGCTCAGCATATAGATTGGATAAGCATGGTGAGAGGATACGACTCTGACACACACGTTTCCTGCTGTTCAGCCCCATGCAGTGCTTCCTTGTGTCATTTGCCTAAGTGCCTCCTGATCCATGCACAGTTTCCACCTGACGACCATTAAGTATTCTGCCATTCCCATTCGCCTCGAGACTATCCATAGTTTGTTGTGGTCCACATAGTCAAATGCCTTGGTGTAGTTAATGAAACACAAGTAAATATCTTTCTGGTATTCTCTGCTTTCAGCCAAATCCATCTGGTATCAGCAATGATACCCCTTGTTCCCCATCCTCTTCTGAATCTGGCCTGAACCTCTGGCAGCTCCCTGTGCTGCTCAGTGTACTACTGCAGTCATTGTTGGATGGTCTTTAGCAAACTGTTGCTTGCCTGTGATGGTCAGGGTATTGTTCTATAATCTGTGCATTCTTTTAGGCAGCTCTTCTTTGGAATGGGTACAAATGGGGATCTCTTCCAGTCAGTTGGCCAAGTAACTGTCTTCCAAATTTCTCGGCATAGACGAGAGAGTGTTCCAGGACTTCATCTGCCTTTGATACATTTTATTTGACCTTCCATCAATTCTTGGAGCCCTGTGCGTGGTGAACGCCGTCAGTGCGGCCTGCGCTGCTTCCTTTCGTACCAGAGTTGTTGCTCATATGACACTTCTTGAAATGGTTGATATCAACTGCATTTTTTGGACAGAGACGGTGTATTCTTCCCATTTTCTTTTGATGCTCCCTGCATGAATCAAGACTTTGCCCATAAAATTTTTCAATCTTTCCAGTCGAGGCTTGATTTTTTTCCCCCCGCTTAAGAGATGCTGAGCGTATTCTTCCTTTTTGGTTTTCTAGCTCTAGGTCTTTGCGCACGTCCGTATAATACTTTGTCTTCTCAAGCTGCCCTTCCCAATTTTCTGTTCAGCTCTTTGACTTTGTCACTTCTTCCATCTGGCTTTGCTACTCTGTGATGAAGAGCAAGTTTCAGAGTCTCTTCTGACATCCACTTTGAGCCTTTCTTTCTTTCCTGATTTTAAGGTCCTTGGTTCATCCCACAGCTCATCAGGTCTTGCCATTCATGTTCAATGCTTCAAATGTTCTTGAGATGTTCTCAAAACTCAGATGAGATACATTCAAGGTCATATTTTGGTTAAAACAAGGTCATGGACTTGTTTTCATTTTCTTCAACTTCATCCTGAGCAAGTGATGGTCTGTTTCAAAGTCATCCACTGGTCTCGTTTTTTAGCTTGTAATATTGAGCTTCTCCAGCATCCCTTCCCCGAGGTGAAGTCTATTTGATTTCTGTGCATTCTCTCTGAGAAGTCTATGTATATTGTTGAGAATATATTTATGCTGAAGAAATCATTTGTCTTGCAAAATCCTCTCATGCAAC